CCCCCCCCCCCCCCCCCCGTTCCCCCCCAATAGGTTTTCCAATGGTCCGTCCCTTAAGGCTATTTTCCCACGCAACATAATTAAGATTAATTGACATGTTTCGCCTTTCTCAAAACTCAAGAAACCGCAAGTAACCGCAAGTCAGCTAAGTCGTTTTTAAGGATGGTTTTCAAGTCGCTTGAAACTTTGTTGAATCGTTTCAGCTTTCCGACTTTAATGAGATTCAAAGTAAAGTTACTTGAGATTTTACTTAGGCCTTCACACACGAATTTTTGGTTAAGTAAAATTTAGCAGCTCTTAAGTCTTACTTAACAGCCTAGGGTAAAGACAACCATTGAAAGGTACTACAAAATAGTTCGCTTCAGTTTTGTCTAGACACTGTTCAGACAATGTATAGACACTGTCTGGACATATTAAAATGACTGCCACTAGCTTCTAGCCGAGCTGTGCTGTCAATCAGAAAGACCTATTTCTTCTGTTTGTGTGGAGCGATTATATAAGTCAGCAATGAAGTCTTGTGTTTTTGGAACACTTTTTCTGGTGATTTTCCTCAGCTACATCCACCCTGGATTTGGAATAACGACCCTAGATGATGATACCTACGACATATTTGTGCAGATGGTCAAAGGGGAGTTTAACATTCCTGTCAAGGAGCGAACAGCACAGCAAAACGCTGCACGAGTGAGGTTCTGGCGCAACAAAGATAAACTTTCCTTACAGGGAGGTATGTTATGCTTCGAAGGAAAGCCCATCGTAAAGAAATCATCACTGAAAGGGGTGGTGAAAAAGTGTTTTAAAAAATCCAAAGGATCTGGAACAAGGAAACTTTACCACAAACTTAAAGATTCTTACAGTGGCGTTTCCGAGCGGAATGTTCACGAAGTCCTCTCAAAATCCACCGTTCATCAGAAACTCAATGCTCGCTTCGAAAATAGAGCAAGGCTTCGTCCGATTCGCGCACGAGATGTTCAGATACGACACCAGATCGACTTAGTCGACATGGAAAAACTAAAAACTAAACACAAAGGTAAAGTGTTTAAATATGTGCTATCAGTTATGGATGTCTTTAGTCGATATCAGTGGTTGGTTCCTTTGGAGCGAAAGCTAAGCTCTCACGTAGCATGTGAGCTACTGCGTATTTACAGGGAAAATGGAGTTCCACGCGTAATACAGCACGACCAAGGGCCAGAGTTTGACGGTGCAGTGTCTCGTCTTTGTAAAAAACTCAAAATTAAAGTCATTAAAGGACGACCCTACCATCCCCAATCACAGGGAAAAGTGGAAAGAGGTCATAGATCACTAAGGAAAAAAATAAGCTATGATTTTCTCGCAATGAAGAAGGCTGGAGTAAATTGGGTCAAGGCTTTACCGAGTTACACTGAAGCACTAAACCAAGATCCAAAGGAGGAACTTGCTTGGAAGTCCCCATTTGAAATTTACTTTGGCCGAAAGCCAAATCTTGTAGATAACACAGGTAACACGTGCGCAAAGGAATGGGACTTGCCTTTAGATAAATATGAAGACATGGTTAGGCCACGCCCTAAGGACTTTAGATCGCGCTCCAAGCATGTGAAAGCTACCAGAAAACAAGCTTTGTCTGCCACTGAAAAATGCGCAAACCGTATGGTAAACAAAGAGGCCAAGAAACATCCCCCATCGATTTACGATATCGGAGAAAATGTTCTCATTCGACATCCCTCAACTGGTAGTAAAATAGTCAAGAAAAGATATGTCTTGGAGGGGAAAATCTTAAAGAGAAATCTTAAAAATGGCTTATATAAAGTTGCATTTTCATCGCCGTCCACTGGAAAACGAATTAACAAGTGGATTTCAGTTTGTAATATCACAAGTACAACTATGGAGAAAGAAAAGAAGAAACAAAAGAATGTGAATGATCATGATAAGAAAGCGGAAAGCGCTAAAGCACTTCATGTAAGCAAGTATAAACATTCATATCAAAATGAAAGGGAGTTCATGGAAGATCGTTTCGAGGAAGCACATTTCCTCATTTCGTATGATCCTCCAGGAGATGGAAATTGTCAGTTTTCAGTAATTTGCGAGTCTCTCAGAAGTGTTGGAATTGATCGCTCCGAAGAAACTGCAAGAGAGGAGATCGTAGAGTATTTAGAGAACCATCCACATCTGCAAAACTTTACTACAGTTGCGTGGCCGACGTATATAGAAACCATGGCACAAGATGGCACGTACGGGGATCATCTTACTCTTCAAGCTGCAGCAGACCTTTATAACGTAGAATTCATTGTTATCTCATCCCTTGGGCCCTCGGCAACGGCCATTATATCACCACTACAGTCCCTCCCTCTTTATAGTTTTCACATAGGCCATTTTGCGGAAGGTGATGGTGAACATTATGTTAAACTGCAAAACGATCCTGTCTATCAAAACCTAGAT